ATATATATATATTCATAAAACTCATGTATATAAAATATGATGTTTATATCAGAGATGTGACTTTTAGTTTTGTAGCTGTTAGTTTCTGTGGCTATGGAGACGTTTCCAATTTTTATTTATGTATTATTTATTGATTTATTTTTTGACTGATGCCATGGGAACGTGCAATCATCATAAATGTTTAGGTTTAACTGTTTCAGTCTACTCGCACGCAAAAACTATACTTAACTGGCAAGTTAGTTGGCAGATCTATATTCGTCTTTCCACCAGAGGAACTCAGGGAGTCTAGAAGTTCCAGGCAGGCAGTTTTAAAAGCTTGTTGTAATATCTCAAGGTCTATGAACTTTTGAGGTGGGATTTTACAACGGCATTTAAAATGCAGTGAGATGGTGATCTGATGGCACACTGTTGGTGCACTGTTGCCTCATAGTAAGCGTGTCCAGACCTGCGTAGGATCCTTCTGTGTTGAGTTTGCATGTTCTAATCATGCTTGTGCTCCTTTCCTTCAAGAAGTCTAATTTTTTCTACCAGAAGAAAATATGAAAACTTATTTTTTCAACATTATTTTGACAAAGGGGCAGGCTTACAAGTGGAGTTGGTCCATAGGCATTGCACAGTGCTGGCCCACTGCTCCCAATGCTTAAGATGGGTTAGATGTGGCTATGCTATAAATATTAGTAAAAATTATATATTGTCTTAAAATATTAGCAAGGTCATTAAAAAGAACTAACTCACAGCCAGTCTTTGTTTATTGATTTTTATTTGGTTTTGCTGTTAGTAGCATTTAGTAGCTCTTCTGGTACTTTAATCATTTTACATGACCATCCACTGCAGGCAATGTTGTCTTTCAAGTTATTTGCTGAACCCTAGAATCAATTCCTCCGTGTTTAGTTGCTGTTCTTTCAACACTTAAAAAAAAAAGACTGATAAGTTGGTCCTTCTTCTGGTCTTCTTGTCTCCCCAAAAGGAGTTTGTTTCTTGCACCATCTCCCAGTACTTCCTGGGACATGGTGCAAATTCTAAGTTGCTTAATGCTGCACTATATTTCAATATAAGTCAATATATTAGAGCCAATTTATAGCTTCTATGATTACTGTTTTCATAAAAAGTGGAAATACAAAAATGTCTTGCGTTATATTGGTACCTCTGCAAACTTTAAAATCCACTAGAATTTACAATTCTTGTGGGGGGGTTGTTTTGTTTTTTGGTATTAATGGACACACTGGTAGGTCCTGCAGGGTTATGGAGCTTTAAAAAGTCATTGGAAATTAATTAGTTTTTTTTTTCCTTAAATTTAAATTCTGGAAGAGCATGTTTTAAAGTGTAGCTATGATGACATGTCAGGGCACAAAAAGACATTTTAGCTTTCTGAGAAGGCAGCACAGGAATGGTGGAAGAAAAGATGTACAAGGAGAAAACTCAGCACCATCTGTCCTCCCATAAGATACTTTTGAATGGGCAGTGCAAGCCCGTGCCCTACTGTGTCTGGGCTCATAGAATCTCCTGCCCACTTATTGTCTAACAGAGAGTCTGCTGACAGATGGCGGTCACAGTCAGCCTGTCTGACACTAAGGCACATGGAGGAGGAAGCTGTGGAAATGATACTCATCACACACAGTGAAGATGCTCACTTCTGGCTAAAATCAATGCTGTTTTTCGTCTGTGCTCACATTTTGTATGAAAACAAATGCGTCAGTGCTTTTTATTTTCGTATAGACTTTTATTTACCGAGTTACTGTATCAACTTCAATGGCCAATCAGTGTAAAGTTGGTGTGTGGAAAATGCTGGTGTTTTGATTCAACTTAAGTTTAACAATCAAATATTCTATAAAAGCCTAGATTCTGTTCTTTCTTTCAGGAAAGACATAAATGATCACCACAGACTACCTCCTGTTTCTCTTTCTTCTTTAGATTAATGTTTTTCCCCCTCTATTTATTTTATCCCTTGATATCTGTCCAGTGCTGCTTGGGGAGACTGGGAAGACATCCTTTGCTGCCCAACTGGTAGTCTGGAGAGAGGGATAAAAAGAGCAGATTTCCAGTTGTGACAGCGGGGATATTTGATGACCAGATTAGGTGGTATTAAGCGTTAACTCGCGCATACAGAGAAGCCATCAGTTTAAATCCTCCTGAGTCTCCCCTCTTTTCTTTCCATGGGCCCTTGGCTGAATGGTGGCTGGGGTTATTTGGGGAAACAAGCAGACGGGTATTTGGTGGAGGTCAGCTGAGGAGGCCAGTTGGTCGAGCTCAGCCCAGTGAATTATGCTGTGAGAGGGGAGATTTGTTTTGAAATAGCAGGAAAGGGGGCAATGACATACAGAAGAGAGGTCTAAGGGGTAGAATGAGGTGGAACGATGGGGTGCAGAGCAACACAGAACAGAAGAGGGTAATGGGTGTTTTTCTTCTTTTTTACAGGGGATGGGAAGGTGGGGAAGTGTGATTCACGATGGCAGTGTAATTTGTCCGAGTGGTGGTGAGGACGAGAGGGCACTGTCACACTGTGAAGCTGGTGCTGAAGTGTGAAAGCACATTTTGTTAGGAGTGGGGAATAAAGTAAAGAGTAAATGCACACATTTGCCCTCCAGTACCACAAGATTGTAGGCTCACAGAGTGATAGAGCACAGGTTAAGCAGCTCTTCTTCCTTTGTTGCATTTTAACAGCCCCAGCAAAGCCCACTGTGCATTTTGGTTCTCCAGTCTCACTTTGTAGTCCACTTTTGTGGACTATAAAATATGTCTTGGTAAAAATGCCGAGGAAAGAAACATACATGTTTGTCTCTTTCTGCTCTTATGAAACAAATGAAATAACAAAACTGTGAAAAAATGTGAGTAAAACAATACGTCGATTTACAAACACATATTCTTTTACAACATAATATGTGTCGGTCTAGGTTTACGGTCGTCCAGATCATGGTAGTCTAAGGAGCTTGAAAAGAAAGTGACTGAACTTCTTTAAGTTTCTTGAAGATGCGTCATCTCTCATTTAAGAAGCTTCTTCACCAAATGGTGGATTCCTAGGTATTTAAACCCTAGTGGGAGTTGTCCTGTCGTGTCCTGATCATTGACCCAATATTGATCATGTGCCTCATATTAGCCAAGGTGTGAAAAAATGGTACAATTATCAGCAGAGGTTTTGGGTGAAACCTCTGTGAGACCTTGCCTCACCCTATCATGTGACCTATTGTGATCACCTGACACAAGATATGAGTGGGGGTTAATGCGCCTGAGAAGGGATCTTAAAACTGCATTGTAGCTGAAAGACAGTTGATGTCACCCTCTCAAAAATGTTCAAAGATGGTCGTTCACAGTGGATATAGATGGCCTCTTTCAAACCATCTGTCTTCTGTCCAAAATGTGAACATTGTCACCCTTGAACGAGTGATCTTTGAGCTTTAGATGCAGCTGTACAGCTGTTTTGTCCTGTCAAGGTGGCTCTTCTATGTTGTCCCATGTGGAGCCGCTGTTTTGTTTCTCCAGTGTCTGAGCAGTCCTCACTGCACTGCACAGTATACAACATTTACAATATCCCAGTAAAGATTGGACGTCGGATGTGCAGGTCCATCGGTCCATGACCAATCCTGGACATGTATACAATGTGCAAACTTGGTCCACAATTTGGATCTCCAACCATGACCCAACTTGGACTTTGGGTCTTTTTTTTTTTTTTTTTTAGATGTCATTTGGACATCTATGACAGGTGCAAGAAATTTACATGATAAATAATTTTTTTTTGTTTTATTTTTTACAAATATCAACATTTTTTGTTATCAACATGATGCATATGAATAGAGATTATTTATAAACAAACAAAGTTTATTATGCGTTAGCCTGTTGATTTACTCAGTACATGTGGGTATTTATTTATTTTTTTGTTATTTACATTTTTTCAGTTTTTCTTTAACTGGCTTATTTATTTCAATTAATCAACTTATGTTTTTGTAACCAGGTTAAAACAGTTTTTTTTTTTAAAGTTTTCTTTAAATGTGTTGAAATCCATGTTAAAATGTAAAAATAATAATGGCATTTAGCATTTAGAATTCTTTTAAAAAATTATTTTAAAAGGAGTACAATGTGTTTAATAAGTTTAAAAGAGCAGTAATAATAATAATTTTTTCAGGGCCCTCAAAGCCCTGTACAATTCCACTATTCATTCACACACAGGTGGAGGCAAGCTACAGTTGTAGCCACAGCTGCCCTGGGGCAGACTGACAGAAGCGAGGATGCCATATCGCGCCATCGGCCCCTCTGGCCAACACCAGTAGGCGGTAGGTGAAGTGTCTTGCCCAAGGACACAACGACCGAAACTGTCCGAGCCGGGGCTCGAACCGGCAACCTTCCGGTTACAAGACGAACTGCCAACTCTTTGAGCCACAATCGCCACACAAAGAGCAGTATCCTGTTTTACTGTGAAGAGCTTAGAAAGAGGAAGTGAATGTGGTTGTGATCGGTTGCAGGACTGGGAGAAGTTGTGATGGAAAGTATGAGAAGTTTGT